GTCCCCAACCCTCATTCAGGGCACCCTTCAGGGCAGACCAGCTGGTCCCCACCATGCACCAGGCCTCTATCCTATATAATAAAAGGGTAATATGCAAATTCACCCTAATGGCAGAACGACTGCTGGACCAATCTCTATGAGACACACTGAATATCTTTTGGTCTCTTTCCCCGGCCAGCAGGCTCCGATCACCTGAAGGCCACCCACTGTGGGGGTGGGGCTAGCAAGCAGGCAGGAACAACTGACTTCTCAGTCCCTTCCCTGGCCGTCAAGCACCAATCACTTGATGGCTAACGGGGAACCAGAGGTGAGTGGCAGCAGCAGATGGGGCCAGCTGCAGGAAGCTGGGGGAGATGGCCCTGATAGCAGGCCAGGCCTAGGGACTGTACCTATGCACGAATTTCATGCACCAGACTTCTAATCTGTATATATAAAAGCCTAATATGCAAATTATCCTCTGGAGTTTGACCTGCAGAACAGGAGTTCGATTGCTGACTTTGATGTATGCTGACTGACCACCAGGAGTTGGCACAGAACAAAGGGAGGACTCAGCTGGCATCCGGGGAAGGAAGGCCCTGGCCAGAAAGCCCCAATCAGCCCTGATTGCTGGGCAGGCCTACAGACCCTACTAGTGCAAAGATTTCATGCACTGGACCTCTAATGGTTGTATAAGAGGACAGATTTGCAAATTGAGACATCAAGTCTATGCATATAAAAATTCAGACCAGCCGAAACCGGTTTGGCTCAGTGGTAGAGCGTCGGTCTGCGGACTGAAAGGTCCCGGTTTGATTCTGGTCCAGGGCATGTACATTGGTTGCAGGCACATCCCCGGTAGGGGGTGTGCAAGAGGCAGCTGGTCAATGTTTCTCTCTCAATGACGTTCTAGCTCTCTATCTCTCTCCCTTCCTCTCTGTAAAAATATCAATAAAATATATTTTTTTTTAAATTCAGACCAATCCACTAAGCCAGTGGTCAGCAAACAGCAGCTCGCAAGCCACATGTGGCTCACGAGCCGTGATTTGCCACTCTGTTAACGAATGAGTTTGCTGACCACTGGGATAGGGGCTTAATCACAAGGAACAACAAAAGCCTGTAATTATTGGAATCAAGGGTCTAGGTCAGTGGTCGGCAAACTCATTAGACAACAGAGCTGCAAACTACAGCTTGCAAACCACATGTGGCTCCTGAGCCGCAGTTTTCCGACCACTGCACTAAGCCAGTATTGATTTACCAAAACCAAAAAATGAGACCATCACGAATGATTACTATGTTTGCATATAAATTATGTGTGGGTATTCCACACACAACCACTTCCTGATTCTACACTTATATTTAGTACATTTGCATCCCAGCAGTTAATCGGAAAAGGCAGTGGAATATGAGGCAACTCCAAATATATAAAATGACTGCCGATGCCATACACAAAGGTTAAAGAAAAATGAAAGCAAAGACTGAAAAAGTCATGCTCTGAAGTGTCTAATGATACTGCAACACCAGCTGCCAACAGATCGTCATGCCCACATCTGTTTAGAACAATGGTTCCCAACCAGAGGAGAATTTGCCTCGTGTGTGGAGACATTTTGTTGTCACAAGTAGAGGGCTACTATTGGCACACAGTGGGGGATGGTGAATGACAGTTAGTGGGTGAGGCCAAGGATACTACTACACATTCTGCAATCTACAGGGCAGCCCCTCACCACAAAAACATCTGGCCCAAATGTCAACATTGCTGATGCTGAGGAACCCTGTTCTAGAAATTTGGAAAGCCAAGCAAATGAAGTATAATTGTATGCTTAAAACAGGATTGCTTAGAAGCAAGAAATATGTAAATGCAAAAATACTTATAAAATGTGTGTTTGGAAAAAAATAAATAAGTAAAAAAATAAAATGTGTATCTGGTGATCTCTCCAGCATGTTGCCCAAGAAGTATTTTTCTGACTGTCTGTGATGGTTAATTTTATGTGTCAACTTGTCTGGGCCACAGGGTGCACAGATAGTTGACCAAGTATTATTCTGTGTGTTTCTATGAGGGTGTTTTGGAAGAGGTTAATATTTAAATTGGTGGCTGGAGTGAAGCAGATCACCCTCCATCCTGTGGGAGGGCCTCCTGTCAGTTGAGACCCAAATATAATAGAACAAAGGTTGAGCCCCCTCCCCCACCCCCTCACCAAGTGAGAAAGAATTCTGCCCCCAACTGACAGTTCTCTGACTGATGGCCTTCAGGCGGGGACAACAGCTCTGCAGAGTTTAGACTCCCTCCTCCATAATCACGTGAGCCAATTCCTTATAGCGTGTGTGTCTCTCTCTCTGGGGTAAAAGTAGATTTACAGTTGTTGGCATGGAAAATAATACAATACTTAATAAATAATAATATAGGAATACACTGTGTTTTGTGTACTCACAATTATCATCCTACTTTTGCCGCACTCTGTATATAATCTATTGGTTCTGTTTCTTTGGAGAATCCTAGCATTCTAGCTATGAATCTCCTTTATTTGGGACTATGGTTGGTTTGGTTTGGTTTTTTTAATAAAAAGCCCAAGAAAGCCCTGGCTGGTGTGGCTCAGTGTATAGAGCATTGGGCACCCAAGAGTCTCGGGTTTGATTCCCAGTCAAGGGATGTACCTGGGTTGTAGGTTCGATCCTTGGCACTGGTCGGGATGAGTGTGGGAAGCAACCAATCTATGTGTCTCTTTCATATCAATACTTCTCTCTCCTCCTCCTCATCCTCCCTTCCTCCCTCTCTTCCTCCCTCCCTTCCTCCCTTCCACTCCCTCTAAAAATCAATAGAAAAAATATCCTGGGGTGAGAATAAACAACAAAGCCCAAGAAATACAGTTCCTATTGATTTGTTACTATAGTGACGGTTATGCCAGATTTCAAGATTCCCCAAGGACCACCAGGGAGCCGAGTCCGATGCAAAAACAAAAGAGCCTTTATTCAAACTCGAGTCTGGTCTCCCTGCCTCTACTGATGCAGCAGCAGAATGCAAAGAGCCCCGAGCTCTGAAAGTGTGGTCTTTTTATAGGTTTTCGGGGTGAGTGGTGGGGTGATGCTTAGACCACTGAGTTGGCTGGTTCTGATTGGTGGGGTGAGGGCCGGGGTCCAGTTACGCTGGGTTACTTCCCTCTGTATTTCTATTGGCTGATTTGAGGGTGGATTGGGTAATTGATACATTTTGAGGTTTTTCTCAGAAAGGGGTTATGTCGGAGACATAGTTATACAAGACGGTTACACAGTACAAAACAGAGTCAATCCTCTGCCCTTGAAAGAAGGCCTATGTGCTGGGAAGGGGCCATAAGATTGTATCTCAAGGCCTGGACTGGTGTCAGCACTGATAACTCTATAGTCCATGGCTTCTCTAGAAGCATGCTCCAACATTCTCACTCTCTTATAGTGACCCTTTTCCTAGGCCCTTATCTGGGTAGTATAATCCCAGCCAATGTTGGATCAAACACCTACATTCTAAGCATACCTGATACCAACAGCCACACTATACTTGTCACCACTTCCAAGCCAGATCCTAATGGCGTGCTGAAGAGTTTCCATTGGTATTATACTTTTTCACCAGTTCTGAAAATGGGGAGTTCTGACTCTGAATTGGAAACCTTCTACTACATGTATTTGCATTTATTTTGTATTCTTTTAAACTAGGTACATTTGCCAAAGTCATTGCCTTCTTTAGCTTAAAAAATAAAATAGTCCATTATGGCTTTCCTCCCTAATGTACAAAAGAGGAAGGATTAGAAACTCACCTAATTTTTTTAAAATCCTTATTCTGCATCTTAAATTCATCTTAAAGAAAAGGGAGTAATTAACATCCTAATGAAAATGATGTTAATATATTTCTAATAAGTGAAAAACAAAACCAATAACACCATCTATTTATATAATAGAGGAATATGCAAATTAGCTGAGACACCATACGTCACGACCGAACATCAGGCCTGAGGCTGCATGGCACATGGCCAGGGTGACGGACCTCAGGCCACGTCCCTTGCCCTGCAGAGCTTGATGGGGGACCTCAGGCCACACCCTTCACCCGGTGGGGCTTGAAGGGAGTTCTCAGGCCACGTTCCTCTTCCCCCGCTCCCCCCAGCTTTGGGCCAGGAGACCTCAGGCTGCGCCCCTTACCCTGTAGGGCTTGATGGGGGGGCCTCAGGCTGCACCCTCCACGCCAGCACCTGTCTAGGAGACCTCACCCCAGTGCCAGGCCGGGGAATCTGAGGCCGTTCCCCCTTCCTGCTGGGTCTTGATGGGACCTCAGGCCACGACCCCCATCTGGGGGATCTGAGGCTGTGCCCCCATCCAGCACCAGGCCAAGGGACTTGAGGCTGCACCCCTGCCCAGTGCCAAGCTGGGGGACCTGAAGCTAAGCCTCCCTGCCCAGAGGGTCTTGGTGAGGGTGGGGCCGGTCAGGTCTGGGTATCCTGCGTTTTCGAAGCATGTGCGGGTGGTAGGCGGGGACTTGACTCTAGGTCCCATGGCATACCCCAGACTCTGACAGGAGGGAGGTTTTCGTATACATTTTACTAAGTTTCTTTCATCTATGACATTTCTATTATAGAGAAAGGGCAAATAGCAATATTAAAATATTTCCTCTAATTAATTCCCTTTTAATGTGCACAAATTTCGTGCACCGGGCCACTAATCCTATATAATAAAAGGCTAATATGCAAATAGACTGAACAGCCGAACAACTAGTTGCTATGACAGAGGGCACACAGGAAACATGGCACATGGTGTTCCTCCTCAGCATGGCATTTAGCACAAACTTTTTGAACCTAAGTAAACTGTATCTCATAGTGGCTGATTGAAGAAAGCAGTGCAGCTGCTGAATGTCAGGCATGGTAGAGAAATAATTCAGGAAGCCAAAAGATTGTAGCTACAAAAGAAAGTCCACTTTGTTCTTAAGTTAATATTGTCATTATGGGGAATGACTCTGAGTAGTAATGTTATACATGTCTTAACAGTCTGTATCAGTCACCTGCAGGACCAAAATGAACAAGCCACAGGAGGAACAGCTGTCCCTGTTGCCAGACAACACTGCCTTGAAGCAGCAGCGATTGCCAGCCTACCGGCTGCAGCTCTCGGCCTCCAAGGTCCTCTCTGGCTTCTTTGCCACGGGAGCATTCTGCCTGGGTATGGGCATCATCCTTCTATTGTCTGCAAAGAGCATCAAGGAAGTAGAGGTTTGTTTCTTCTTATATGTTTAATGCGATTTCTAATAATTTTCTGCTTTGAGACTATGAATGAGCAGTCCAGTTGAGAACACAACCCCTCCACAGGAGCTAAATGAGACTGTAACCTCCCTGTTTCAGCTGGCAGGCGCCCATGGTGACAGAGCCTGTGTGGTGACTTTATTCATCCCTATTTCCTAATGAGGACAAATCAGTCTCACACTGTTGGCTCAATCAACCTTGTTTACAGGGTCTGGGAAAGTCAGGCTTTTGTGCTGGCAAAGGACTGAGAAAACACTCGATAGGGATGAGAGGAAAGGCAAGGCCAAAGGACTGCCTGTCTGGGTGGCCCAGTTGATTGGGGATCATCCCATACACCAGGTTGCAGGTTCAATTCCCAGTCAAGGGACATACCTAGGTTGCAGATTCAATCCCTGGTCTGGGCACATATGGGAGGCAACTGATCAATATTTCTCTCACATCGATATCTCTCCCTCTCCCTCTGTTTTTCCCTCTCCTTCTTTCTCTGAGTCTCCTTCTCCTTCTTCCTCTCCCTCTCCCTCTTCCTTCCTAACAATCAATAAAAACATATCCTTGGGTGAGGATTTAAAAGAAAAAAGTGAAGAGCCAAAGACAGAGGCTATTTTAGCCCACTTTCAAGCATAGTGTCTTTCGCTTTGCAAATGAACTCTCTCTGAGTTCATCAACTCAATCTAGGAAAGGCAAGAACCAACCCAAACCTTTCTGGCTTATTAGGGACACTTAGCAAAATAAGCCAAGTTCTATTCAGTGAGAAAAACTGACATTAAGGGCATACCCCTCAGTTATAAGCCTCTTGCCAATGTGATTAACAAGCTGTTGGAGAATGAGACACCCAGAAGCTGGTCTGAGAAGGGAAGATGAGAGCTGGCCTACAGCTAAATTGGCCATGCCCATTTTTCAGTCTAACGAATTAAGAAATGTCTTATTTACATCATTTCTGAGCAGATTGCCCTACGTCCCAGACTACGTGACCTTTATTCCACAGGCAGCCATGGAAAGCTGATCTGTCCCCTCTGTCCACGTGGCTAGTGGCAACATGTTGAAGGCCAAGTCTGTTGAGGGTGATTTAACATTCAGGAGTGTGAGAGGTGCTGAGAATTCTGTGGGATATACAGATGAGGCAGATAAGCCAAGGTTGACTTGTGTCCTCCATGAGCTAATGATAGAATAGGTAAGACAGTGTGTGGTAAGAACAGAGAGCTCAGCCATGCCTGGCTTGTTCACAGAACCCACAACCCCTACCTGTTCAGTGCCCAGCACATAATAGTCAGAAACTTGTGGAAAGAGTGGGTTATAGCAAATGTTGGACTTTAGAAAGGAGAACATGGGTTCAGTCCCACTCCTCCCATTGCCTTTCTACTTGTATTTTTTGCTGCTCCTCCCAGATCCCAGCTTCTCTCTCCAGGAATAAGTGACCTTCACACAACAAAGTCCCTCAGCCAGAGCTCACAGGATTTGCTCATTTGAGACACACTTCCCTTTAAAAAAAAAAAAAAAAAAAAAAAAAAAAAAAAAAGTCCACCCTACCATTTTCAAAGAATTGAACTTTTAAAAAATGGAATGTAACATTAAAAATCAGATTTATTCCACAGATGTAAACAACCCTACATTTTGGAAATAGTTCTTTTTCTGTTTGGTGATTTTTAATAATGTCTTCTAGATACCATGAAGAATAATTCCTTTGTATACATATTTTCCACACAATAAAATGGAAAAACAGTGAAGTGATTTCCCCATAAAGCTGATTAGACCCTGGCCGTAGGCCCATATGAGACGTTGACTAATACTTTCCTAATGACACCTTTTTATGATCCAGGCATCAGGCTTTATCACAATAGGTTACATAAATAGTCAATAAAAACACTGAATTCCAGATCCGTGGCAAAATGCTACAGGTCTCAAAATGAAAGGCCCAGTCCTCCGGAGTGACACAGAAGCTCTCCCTGCACTCCGGCTGCCCTTTAGTCGTGGCCAGACAACATGCCCTTGACCCAGACAGCCTGACCTTGGTGGACTCAAGGCTTGAATTTTAAGATATATACTCTTGTAATTTCTTTTTTTAATTAAATGTATCAAGGGGACAATGTTTAACAAGATTATGTAGGTATAAGTGAGCAGTTTTAGGATACATCATCTGTAGATTGCACTGTGTCCACCTCCCTAAACCAAATCTTCTTCCTTGTTCTTTTTCCCTGCCTGACAGATAAATTACACCAATATTTGTGCAAGCTGTGCAAAACTCCGGGAAAACGCCATTAATTTTGACAAAGAATGCTCCTGCTCCATTCCTTTTTACCTGCCAGAGATAATGCAAGTAAGTGAAATCAAAAGCCTTCAATTGGCTAGATGCTGATCTCCTACTTCACACCTCGCAATGAGTTCATGATTTCCAACAAGTGCTTCCTGAAACTGAAAATACCAAAAGTAAGGCAGTGGGGTGGGGGTCTTATGAAGTTCTGAGTTCATGTGTGACTCCTCGCCCCTTTTTTCCCTTTGGAATGTTGTTCTCCTTTGTCTCTAAGTTTCCATATTCTTCCCCTGCTCAGTGTTGTCACATAATTCTTCACATCAATCAAGCAGGTTTTATTCCAATGTCAGCACAAAAGGGGATACTAGAGATCACGGAATCCAACCACTCATTTTATAGTGAGAAAATTAATGGGCTGAGAGGTTAAGTGTCTGCACCAAAGTCACACGGTGAGTTAGTGTCAGAGGGTCACACACCTGGTGGGACTCTCTTTGGGACCCTCCAAGTCATTCCACATATGCAGTTGCCTAATCCAAGTCTTGGCCTGGCTGTCAGACGCGGTGAGAAATGCCAAAGAAATATTAAGAGAGTCCCTGCTCTTGGGCTGATCAAAGTCGTGTCTGAGAAGCAGATGCCAAGACAGGATTAAACTTGCAAGATATTTATTGGGAGAACTGCCTGTAAGAGAAAATGGGAGGGAGCCTGAGGAAACAGAGCAGTCAGACAACACAGCTCTGGCCCCTGTGGAGGAGAGGGAAGAAGGGGAGCAGGAAGGAGGGAGTAGAAGAGGGAGAAAAAGAAGGCAGGAGACTAGGTCCTAGACTGGTGTATTCCTAAGAATGTTTCAGAAGGCTCAGCAAAATTGCAAGGTTGCCAATGTCTTGCATGTGGATAAATGCAGCTCGGAATCCCCGGTTCCTTGTCAGTCCAGCAGACACAGGTGATGGGTCACTCCCACATCCCTAACACACGTCCTTCTCATGGCCTTCAGGATACCGCACTCCTGGAAAACCTCCTAGCTCTCTGGCTGCCCTTCTTTGGCTTATTATGTCCCTCCATCTTCCTCACACCCTGTGCTAGATCTGCAGGGTTTTAGCCTTAGCCTGCAGCCTTCTCCTCGCTCTGCGCACTCGCTTCCCTGGAAACGGCATCAACCCCCTGGCTTTAAGTGCCAACCATTGCCAACACCCTTTTTCTATCTCTAGCCCAAACCTCCTTTCCGCTAGCCACTCTTGTATTTCCAGTTGTCCTCCTGATGTCAACATTTGGATGATCACCAGATATGTGAAGCTCAACTTTTCCAAAACTGAACTCCTGACCACCACCACTTTTCTTCATCCCACCCCCAAAGAATCCATTCCAACCACAGACTTCTCAATCACAGCTGATAGCAGCTCCTTCCTTCTGGTGCCCAGGCCAAAACCCAGGAGTTATTCTTGACTACTTCAGCTTCTTAACATCTCACATCCATTTTACCCTGTTTGCTCTGCCTTCAGAATGTATCCAGAGTCTGCCCACTTCTCCACAACTCTGCCACGGCTACCTAGCCCCATGCCAAATCCAGCTCTCACCTGATTCTCTGCAGTAGCCTCCTAGCAGGTCTCCCTGTTTGCATCAGTGTCTCAACAAAGCAGCTAGAGTAAGCTTCATAAAGCACAAGTCATGTTATGTCATTCCTTTACTTAAAAATTCCTGCGATGGCTCCTCTTTTCACCAAGTGAGAAAGTGCAAGGCTTTACAAGGCCCACCTGATCTGGCTTCGCACCTCCTCAATGACCTAATCTCTCCATCCTCTTCCACTCACCCCCACACCAACCACAGTGGAATCCTCGTTCTCAGACAAGTTGGACATATTCTTGGGTTGTTCTCTGTACCTGATATCCACTTGTCTAATTCCCCTGCCTCCTTCAGGTCTTGGCTCAGTTCTCATCTCAGTAAGGCCTACACTAGCCAACCAGTTTCTTGCTGTAGCCTGTCTACTTACTCCACCCCTGCACTCCTTATCCTTGTTACCTTGCTGTAAATTTAATTTTTTCTATAGTATTTATCACTTCTAGTCCTATATAATGAAGAGGTGATATGCAAATTGACAATCACTCCAACACACAAGATGGCCACCCCCATGTGGTCAAAGATGGCCGCCCCCATGTGGATTCAAGATGGACACCACAAGATGGCAGTTGGGGGCAACCAGGTCAACAAGGGAGGGTGGTTAGGGACAATCGGGCTAGCAGGGGAGCAGTTAGGCATCGATCAGGCTGTCAGGGGAATGGTTAGGGGGTGCTCAGGCTGGCAGGCAGAAACAGGGGCAATCAGACAGGCGGCAGATGAGTGGTTGGAAGCTAGCAGTCCTGGATCCCAGATTGGAGAGAGTGCAGACTGGGCTGAGGGACACACACACACATAACCCCCAAGCACAAATTTTGTGCACCAGGCCCCTAGTATACTATATAAATTAAAAATTTGTTACATAGATGTATTGTTTGTTGTCTCTCACTGTACTGTTGTATCCCAAACCCCAGTAACAATGCTTGGCTTGATTAAAGTTTACTTAATGAGTACATAAATCTTTGCTTCCTCCACAATGCATAGCACTGTATATTTCACATGGTAGATGCTCAGGAAACACTTTCTAGAATAGTAAATGAATGGAGGAAAGATAAAGTGCTAAATTATATGGCTTTATGTTCTATGAGGCTTTGGTTTTATGTTTTTAAGGCTAATTATAAGCTTATTTCTTTCTTTTTTAAAATATATTTTTATTGATTTCAGAAAGGTAGAGGGAGACGGAGATAGAAACATCAATGATGAGAGAGAATCTTCATCGGCTGCCTTCTGCATGCCCCCTACTGGAGACCGTGCCTGCAACCCAGACATGTGTTCTGTCCTTCTGGTTAATAGGTTGATGCTCAATCACTAAGCCACAGTTTTGGTTCTATGTTGTATCTTTCTTATTTTCCCCTTGACCCCATAAGAAAGAATTTTGGTATCAATAATATTCTGAACACATCTGTATTGAGTATGGGTAGCTCTAATCATTTTTGTAAGTCAGGTATAAATTTCAAGGAAATTAGAGAGATGTACTTGGGTTATAACTGAAATCTATATAAAGTCAGTGGGGGAAGTTTTACAAATGTATCCTTTTATTGTAAGTAAAAATTCTAGTTCTCTACAGGTGTACCCTTTCTTGCTTTCCTCAGTTCCCTATGTTTCCCCCAAAGTAAAAGTTCGAGTACTTTTAATTTAGAGGGGAGGCTTAAAACAACAGAAATTTATTCTCTCAGAGTTCCACAAGTCAAAAAACTTGAAATCATTTTGTCAAGCAGGATTGTTCCTTCCTGAGGGGCTCAGAGTACGTACACTTTTTTTAAGAAAAAGATCCAAAGGACAAGACCTTTGAATGGCTTCAGTTCCCATCTGCCTGCGTCCTTTGAAGCCCTAAAGCAAAGGAAGTGTGACAGCTGCTCACTGCTCCTTTCAGGCAAAGGCTTTCCCGTACAAATCCGACCGACTGCTTAGGGCAATCGCAGGGCCTTCCGCTCCCAGTCAGCAGGCATGGCGTGCGCTTGTGATGAACCCACGTGAGACTCTGCCTTAAGTTCGGAGTCCTGCGCCAAGTGCCACTGGTGTAAAGAGAAGAAATGCCATAAAGCATGTGCCGCCAGGACTAATTAAAGAGGTGATGATCTGTGAGGCCTTGTTAAGCGAAAACTTGGACAAAGAATCATTGAAAAAAAAGGTTATGAAAACACTCCCCTCCCTAATGTGGTGTGTTCTCTGCCTGTTTATTTTATCATTTATATAAATATATAACTTTGGGTAAGTAGAATTCTCCTTTTTAGCTTCCAAGAAAATGTATGGTAAATTCCTTTCTGTGGACTTCACATTTTCTGCAGTTAAGGGTCAACAATAGAGGTTTCCCCTTTGGGTGAGGAAATGGAATCGGTCAATCTCGCTACGCCTGGCTTATCCACCTTCACATCCATGCTCTGTGTTTATTTCGCCGCAGCCTGCCTCTGCCATGGCCGAGCATCTCCCTCCTCGGTGTTCCAAAGTTTTTCTCTCACAACTGATTAGGCTCGCTGGCGTTCGCTGTTTTCTGTAACTGGCCGCACTTACCAAGGCCTTTATTTCCAGCCTGCCCTGGTACCCGCTCCCATTTTCCACACTCATCTCTTAAAGGCTTTTAGGATGGGGCCAAAATTCCTACCAAATGCTGCTTTTGCATCGTGTAAGAAAATTGACACGGTGAATTGTAAAGGAATACTTCTGTGTTTCTGGCACAGAACATAGCACATAACATGTGGGAGGCACTTTAAGTAAATGGGAAGCCGTCATATATTTTTGGACTCAGGCCTCATTGTTCTGGAGGTACCTCATATATTAATAATAAAAGCTACATTGGCCATTTCCAGTTGCATTGTATAGGCTGTTAGTAAAATCTGTATCAAGTCTGCCTGGAGAATCTCCAGGGCCTTGGTATGTTACCATAGAGGTGGAAGCATGAAAGCGGCCTGTGACTGGGCAGCCTCATGCAGCAGTGCCCATGAAAAGGCATGCCTCTCATGGCAACAAGGCTACTTACAACTCAGGCGAAATTCACCTGTTTTAGGATCAGTGAGTTATTCCAACTCCATTTGTCCAAGGGGTATGCCATTTCTGGAGTGAGTACTATACGCCAGGTACAGTGCTACATCCTAAGGATAAAAAGACGAAAACCCCGGGAGCTGGACCACAGAGAACCAGTCTCATCCTTTCACATGCCCAGTATGCACATGCACCTAACTACGCTCAGTGGCTCCAATTTTAAATTATGCTTCATGGGTTTGCTTTGAAATCACGTGACTTTGATGCCTACCACAACCCCTAGGAAAACATATCTCCTAGTATTGCTGGGAAATAACAGTATTTGTAAAATCAAATTTTACATATTGAGAATACAAAGCCCAGTTATAAAAATACTAGAGGCCTGGTGCATGAAATTCATGCACTGGAGATGGGGGTGGGGTGGGGGGGTGGAGTCCCTCAGCCTGGCCTGCTCCTCTCACAGTCTGGAACCCTCAGGGGAAGGAGGCAACCCGGTGATCAGAAGAAGGTGATGCCCCATCACACCTTTGCTGCTGCCACTGCCGACAGCACAAGCCTCGGCCGGCTCTGGTTACCTGAGCCTTGGGTAGCCCTGGGCAGCTGGGCAGCTGCCATCCATGGCTTGCCTGCACCTCGGGCCAGCCCTGGGTGGCTGGGGGCTGAAGGGACTGGGGACTCTGGGGGCAGGTGCGGCACTGAGGGGGCTGCCATTCTGTGAGCGCTACCATTTTTGAGGGCATGGCCCTCAATTAATATATTTCCTCTTCATTAGATAGGATTTTCAAGACAGTAGCCCTTATAGAAGCATTAAAAATAAGTTATTTGGCCATTTTAATAATTCTTTATAGACCAGGATTTTCCAACGATTTTTTTTTAATTTTAATTATTTTTTAATTCCAGCTGGCATTTAATATTATATCCAACACTGATTTTTTTTCTCAGCAACAGTTTTCTTTTCTTAATCCTCACCCAAGGCTATGTTTTATTGACTTTAGAGAAAGGAAGCGGGAGAGAGAGAGAAAAAGAAAAACGTCAGTGTGAGAGAGAAATATTGACCAGTTGCCTCCCATACATGCCCCAACCAGGAATCAAACCCAAAACCCAGGTCTGTGTCCTGACCGGGAATCAAACTCACAACCTTTTGGTGTATGGGACAACCCTTCAACCAACCGAGCTACCCCACTCCCCCACCCCCCATCCCAGTTCCAACACTGATTTTTAATAATGATTTCTTGTTTTTTTTTAATTTGATTTAAAAAAAAAAAAACAACTTTGTTTCCATCATTTTTTCTTTACCACTTTTTATATTTTGAAAGTCCTGTGTTTATTAATATTCCAGTTTATTTTTACTCTCTTCTTACTTTTTACTGTTCTCCTTTACAGGGTAATGTTTATATGTACTATAAATTATATGGCTTCCATCAGAACCTCTATCATTATATCCTATCCAGAAGTAATACCCAACTGATGGGTAAAAATATAAAGGTAAGGCTTTTTTTTACTTTGGTATAATATCCTTTTTTTTTTTTTTTTTTTTAAATCCTCACGTGAAGATTGAAGATCTTTTTTCCTCCCAGGAAATGGAAGGGAAAGGAGAAAAGAGGAGAGGAGAGGAGGGGAGAGGAGAAAAGAAAAGAGGAGAGGAGAAGAGAGGAAGAAACATCACATCGATATGACAGAGACACATCCATTGGTTGCTTTATGCATGCACCCAAATCCTTGACTGGGAATTGAACCCACAACCCTCCAGTGGGCAGACCGATTCTCTGATCACTGAGCATACTCGCCAGGCTCCTCTTTTTTCCGTTTAAACCAGATGGATTTTTCAGTCTAAATTTTCAGAATATAGAAAATTAACTCAAAAGCTGAGGTTTTACAGATAGAAATGTTCATTTCATTCTTGCATAAATTGAAGGGGCTGAGTATTCCGGATAACTGCTATTGAGAAAAGGAGTTATTTCCTCTCTTCAGAGCAGTGTGGATCTTGCTGGTTAAAAAGGGGTGTCCTGGGGGAGAATCCCAGATGGCTGCTCGGGTAGGCACCTAGCCGCAGCCGCACACAACAATTTCAATAAAATACAACTAAAATATAAAATGGACATTACCCAGAACTACAGGAAAGTCGACTGAAATTCTACAACGAGAAGCAAGGAGAAAACCAGAAGGAAGCGCGGAGGAGCTGGAAAACCCTGAGGTACAGAGACACGCGGTGCGCGCGGAGAGGACAGAGCTGGAGAGGAGGGAGGCTGACTGCCTGGCTGGCGTTCCCTAGCGGGAAGGAGATAAAACTCCAACTGTGTTGGGCCCCAGTTTCGATTGCTTTGAACCCTAGTTCTAGGCCAGACCCCAGGGACCCAGGCTCGTCCAGAGGGAGCTGGGCTGTAAGGCGGAACCCCGGGGGAGCAACGAAAGGAGGTTCCAGAGGCACGCACAGTGTGTGCAGAGAAGGGACGGCCGGCTGTGCTGCGGGATTGCCCTGGCGGGAAGGAGACAGGGGCTCCAGACTGCTCTAAACGCCACCTCCAATCCCACTTACAACTGAACTGAACCCCAGTTCCGGGCTCTCCGGGAGAGACCAGACTGTTTGGTAGCAGGTGAAAATCAAGGGCACCTTTCTCTCAAAAGCCCTTGCAACGAGTACTGAAGGACCCTGAGACCTAGGAGCCGCATAGGGCAGGGCTGACAGAAGCCAAAGTTGTAGGCTCCATCCTGAAACCCCATCCCATCTGTAGCTGTGAAATGCGACAATGAAATAGATCACAAACGAAAGAAATGGAGGACAAAAAGCAACTGGATATAGAGTTCAAATCTACGCTTATAAGGTTTTTCAAGAATTTCCTAGAAAAGATCGATAAGACCTATGAAGATATGAAAAGAGATCAACTAGAATTAATAAGGAATCAACAAGAAATGATAAGGGATCAACAAGAAATGATAAGGGATCAACAAGAAATAAAGAATACATTGTCTGAAATAAAAAATATTATACAGAGTCCTAAAATACAGAATGGAAGATCGCAAGAATCAAGTCAAAGATTTGGAACATAAAGAGCCAGAAGACACTCCTCCACAGAAGCTAGAAGGCAAGAGAATCCAGAAAATTGAAGATAATGTAAGAAACCTCTGGGACAACTTCAAGCGAACCAACATCAGAATTATGGGGGTCCCAGAAGATGAGAGAGAGCAAGATATCGAAAACATACTGAAAGAAATAATGACAGAAAACTTCCCCCACATGGTGAAAGAATTGGACTTACAAGTCCAGGAAGCGCACAGAACTCCAAACAAAAGGAATCCAAAGAGGACCGCACCAAGACAAATCATTATTAAAATTCCAAGAGCAAAAGACAAAGAGAGAATATTAAAAGCAGCAAGAGCAAAGAAGGTAGTTACCTATAAAGGAGCACCTATACAATTGTCAGCTGGTTTCTCAACAGAAACCATGCAGGCCAGACGGGAATGGCAAGAAATATTCAAGGTGATGAAAAGTAAGAACCTACAGCCAAAGATAATCTATCCAGCAAAGCCATCACTCAGAATCGAAGGTCAGACGAGCTTTACTAATAAAAAAAAAAAGCTAAAGGAGTTCATCACAACCAAACCAGAATATATGAATTGCTGAAGGGGGTTCTTTCAGAAGAGAAAGTAAATAAAGATAAAAATTATGAATAACAAATATGTAACTATCAACAAGTGAATCTAAAAACCAAGGAAATTAAAAAAAAATCTGATGAACAATATTAACTGTTGAATATAATAGAATCAGAGGTATGGAAGAGGAGTGAACTGATGATTCTTGGGGAAAAGAGGAGAGGGGGGTGTGGGGAGAGACTGAACATAAACTGTGCACCTATGGATGAGGACAATGGGGGGTGGGGAAAGGGCAGAGGGTGGGGTGGGAACCTGGTGGAGGAGAGCAATGAAGGGGGGCGGGGAGGAACATTTGTAATAATATGAACAATAAAAAATTATTTTTAAAAAAGGGGGGGTATCCTTTCATGCTCCAACCATTTTTTTTTTAATTCGACAGAATTTTACATTAAAATTGGATTGTCCAAATCTTGGCAATAATGAATGTGTCAGAAGGGAAAATCTTCAAGTATCTTTCAAACACAATCAGGATTTTCTGTTTCTGTTAAAGTTGATGGCATACTAGGTTGACGCATTGATTAGATTTTAGTATTATTCCTTTACCCATAATTTCTATAGTTATCTTTAAAGTTGCGCATTTTACTTGATGGAATCACAAACCATTTTGATAGTGACTCTGAGAGATTTGTCTTAGTCTGGCTCTCGGTGTGTAGCGGTGTCTTTCCTATAACCGGGGCCGTCAGTCTAGACAAGTTTAAGGAAGTTGGGCTCCACTTGAATAAAAGCCTTTGATTTAATTGAATACCCTTGCAGTCCTAGGATTACAAAACTTTACTCTTGGTAGATGATATTTAGCATGCCAGTGAGAAGAACAATGAGAAAACCATTTTTTCTATACTGATATTATATTAAAGTAATAAATAATTTTTTAGCAAACATTCTTTTAAAAATATATTCTGGTTCTTAGGTAGGTAAGTCATCTAGCCTATAGATTCATGACTTTTATATTTTTTGGAATATAAATTGCACTTCAATAAAAACAGGTTTTAAAATGTATTTAAGTGTAGACTTAAGGTGATATTTAGTACAGCCAGTAAGGTAAAGTTTTTTCTTACAAACATATTTGCTATACTATGTATTGTTATTAAGGGGGGAAAAAACCTTTTCTCTTTTCAGTCTAAAATATTTATTTTATTTAAATAATAGAGGCCCAGTGCACGAAATTCGTGCACGGGGTTGGGGGGTGTCCCTCAACCCAGCCTGCACCCTCTCCAATCTGGGACCCCTCAAGGGATGTTCAACTGTCAGGCATTCCTCTCACAATACAGGACTGCTGACTCCCAACTGCTCACCTGCCTGCCTTCCTGATTGCCCCTAACCCCTTCTGCCTGCCAGACTGATTACCCCCTAACCACTCCCCTGCCAGCCTGATTGATGTCTAACTGCTCCCCTGCCAGCCTCTTTGCTCCCAACTTCCCTTCTCTGCTGACCTGGTCACTCCCAACTGCCCTTCCTTGCAGGGTTGATTGCCTCCAACTGCCCCCCCCCCTTGCAGGCCTGGTCCCTCTCAACTGCCCTCCCCTACTGGTCATCTTGTGGTGGCCATCTTGTGTCCACATGGGGGCAGGATCTTAAACCACATGGGGGCAGCTATCTTGTGTGTTGGAGTGATGGTCAATCTGCATATTACTCTTTTATTAGATAGGATAGAGGCCTGGTGCATGGATGGGGCCAGCTGGTTTGTCCTGAAGGGTGTCCCAGATCAGGGTGGGGGTTCCCTTGGGGTGTGGAGCAGCCTGGGTGAGGGGCCTGTGGTGGTTTGCAGACCGGCCACGCCCCCCCTCCAGCCACCTAAGCAGAGGCCCTGGTATCTGGGTTATACTTACTTTCAACAACTGAAACTTTGTAGCCTGGAGCAAAGCCAAGTCCCCTGCTCCCTCCGTGGCTGCTGCCATTTCTGTTTGGTTTTATATATCTTCTATAATTGAAACTTTGTATTTTTGAGTGGAGGCCTAGGCTGGCCAGGGCAGGTGGAAAGCTTGGCTTCATCTGTTGCCAGGGACAACCCTGGTCTGTTCTCTGCAGCTTCGTGGCTGCCACCATTTTTCTTGGGATTTATCTTCTATAATTGAAATTGTATTATTTTTTTTCTTTTTTTTTAAATATATATTTTATTGATTTTTTTACAGAGAGGAAGGGAATGAGATAGAGAGCTAGAAACATCGATGATGAGAAACATCGACCAGCTGCCTCCTGCACACCCGCCACCGGGGATGTGCCTGCAACCAATATACATGCCCCTGACCGGAATCGAACCTGGGACCTTTTCAGTCCACAGACCGATGCTCTACCGCTGAGCCAAACCAGTTTCAGCTGAAATTGTATTCTTGAGTGGAGGCCTAGGCTGGCCAGGGTGTGTGGAAAGCTTGGCTTCCTCTATTGCCAGGGAAACCCAAGCATCTCAACTGCTCTCTATGGCTGTAGCTATCTTGGTTGGGGTTAATTTGCATGTTCACTTTGATTGGCTGATGGGTGTGGCTTGTGGGTGTAGCAGATTGGTGGTTAATTTGCATATTGCTATTTTATTAGGTAGAATTTATTTTATTGTTCAATATCAGTATTTATTTGCTATTAAATCCCTTTAGCTGTAAAGGAATTTATACACACACACACACACACACACACACACACACACATCCAAAACACAAAGATTTTTCTAGCCTAAGTGAGCTGGAAGCCTGGAAAAAAACAGTTAGTAGACCATAATCTTGGTCTGTGCCAATAAATCCGTGTGGGGAGATTTGCATTGCCAGTGTTCTTACTTTCAACATTCTAAGGGAGTTGAGCAAAAGCACTTCTCAATCATGTATCGTCTTATATCCAGGATGTTGAAAAATGTGGTTCATTCCAAAAGACCAGCAATGGAACCCCCATCTGTCCTTGTGGAGCTATCGCCAACAGCATGTTCAATGGTAGGTGATTTTTTTTTCCTATCTCCATGGTGTGCCCTTTCATAAGTGTGTAACTAAATGTTCAGAAGATCATCTCTGCAACAGAATGGCAGGTTTATTGTTTTTTAAATAATTTTGTATTTGTTATCCACTGACTTACTGTATTTCATTTGCAAGTAAGTTCTTCCTTACTAGAGCTTCAAAGTAGTTAGGGACATGAGTTCAGTGGAGCTTAAGAGTATTTTCAATCACTGGTGCCTTGGCACAATATTTCATATAAAAAATAGAATTGTAATTCCAGCATCTACAGCATGTAGGCATGTTGAGAGTCTGCTAAAACCCTGGTTTATTTGTCATGTCTACTTTTGCACATCAGAGAGTGAAAAAACACTTGTTTGCATCTATAACACAATTTTTAATTTTCTTACAGACACCATCATTCTTTTATACAACCTTAATTCATCTATATATATCAAAGTCCCAATGCTGTCCCGTGGAATTACATGGTGGACAGACAAGTACATCAAGTTTCAGAATCCAAAATCCATTGATCTTCCTAGTGCATTTGAAGGTAAGATCCATACATTAGTGTAATTTTTTTTTAATCTCTTTGTAGATACTTTGGTGTTTAAGTGTGAGGAAGTAATTATGATTTCCTCTTCTTCCCTTCTTTGTTGACTTCCTTTTTGTTTTAATTTTCCATACCTGTGAGCACCTCTATCACATACCTGTCAGAAACATGAAATAATTGTTGCCCTGGTTCCGTCCAGTTTACCATTAGTAAAAAGGCAATGTTTTAAAAAAACTGGTTACTCCATCTAAAATTAGGGTGACCACGTAATTTACTGCCTGAGCTAGTGTACTTTTGAGTATAAAAGGGGACACTAGAATGACTACAGATCTGCGCGCGCATTGCCCTGCTTTTCGCCGCTTTTCTGCCTCACAGCCCTGTCTCCTCCTGCCGGAGCCTGGGTCCACAGGGTCTGGCCCATAACTGGGGCTCAGCGCTGCCGGTTCTGGGGGCTCAGCGCTGCTGGTTCGGGGGTTCAGCCCAGGCTGGGGGTTTTATTTCCTTCCTGCTAGGGAAGGAAAGGCAGCACCCCGCCCTCTCCTCCTCTCCGGCTGCGACCTTTCCGCGCGTGTGCAGGCGGGCACGCAGCATGTCTCCGTACTTTAGGCTTTTTTTCAGCTCCTCTGATTTTCTTTCTGGTTTTCTCTTTCCTTCTTGTTGTAGAAATTTCAGTCAGTCGACTACCTGTAGCTCTGGGCAATGTCCACTCTACATCTTAGTTGTATTCCATTGAAATTGTTGTGTGCTGCTGCGGCTAGATGTCTACCCGAGCAGCCATCTTGGATCTCTCCCATTGGTGATTTCCTTTAGCATTTCTTGTAATGCTGGCTCGGTGGTGTTGAACTCCTTTAACCTTTATTTTTTTTGTCTGGGAAGCTCTATATTTCACTGTCTATTTTGAATGATAGCCTTGCTTGATATAGTAATCTTGGTTTCAGATCCTTGCTTTCCATTACCTTTAATACTTCATGCCATTCTCTTCTGGCTTGTAGAGTTTCTAGTGAGCAGTCAGCTGACTGCCTTATGTGAGTTCCTTTATAGGTTACAAATTGCTTTTCTCTTGCTACTTTTAAGATTCTTTCTTTGTCTTTAATTTTTGGTATTTTAATTATGATGTGCCTGGTCGTGGCCTGTTTGGGTTCTTCTTGCTTGAAATTCTTTGTAACTCCTGAAATTATGTGACTTTTTCCTTTGCCAGGTTAGGGAAGTTTCTACCATTATTTCTTCAAACATGTTCCTATGCCTTGTTCACTTTCTTTTTCTTTTTTTCTTTTTTTCTGCTCTGTCTCTAATTCAGTTATCTGATCCTTGGATTCCCCTAATCTACTGTGTATTCCTTCTACTATGTTCTTTATTAGTGCTGTGTCATTATTCATATCTTTTCTCATGCTCTTGAGCATGTTTGCCATCATTGTTCTGAACTCTATGTCTAATAAATGTCTTCTCTCCATTTCGTTGAGGTCTTCTGGAGAATTCTCTTATTCTTTCATTTGGTACTTTTCTTTTCGTCTCCCCATTTTAGATGTCTATTTCAGTTTGTCTCTGTGTATTAGTATATCTAATCCACCTCCCAATCTCTAGTGTGAGAGAGTTTCAGACACTGTTACTGGCCCTGAGTCCCCTGATTGGAGCTATCAGTAATCCACAGTTTATGGTTCCCTCTGCTGGAGCTGGGTGCCTTTGGAAAGGACCAAGATTTGCACCCAGCTCTGCTTTTCCTAGTCCCTTACCCAGCATTAGCTCAAAGCCTCCAGAGACCTGGCTCTGCTGCAGACCAATTGACACTCAGTCTTGATTATCCTCAGGCTATCAACCACAGGGTGGGGCAAGAGGTCTTCCAATAGAAGGGGACAACTGCCTTCCACACAGTCAAAAACTGCCTGGATGGCAAAGGTCTACTGGAGAAAGATGTCCTCGGCAGTGTGAGAAAATGACTCCGCATAAGAAACCGAGGTGACTGCCCTCCAAACTCAACCCCAGAGCTCCCATTCCTGGCTTCTGCTCACACAGCTTCAGTCCACTCTGCCCTCCCTCTGATGGAGCCTGACATGTGTGGCTGCATGAAATTTTATGCATTAGTCCTTTAAGAACTTGATGCATTTCCAGCAATCTCTGTTGGGCAAACAGCAACCCTGCTGCTTTTCACGGCAGATGTTATGTGAGTACCTTTCTCAGTTTTGGTGCTCTCTGCTGTGGAGAGTATAATGCTATCACAGAATACTCCCAGAGTTCTCAGTGGGATCTCCCCACAACTGAGATATCCCTCCAGAATTTCAGCTGCTGTCTGTGGGACCCCAGCCAGCCCTTTCACACCTCAGCCTTTCCCATCAGTCTCTATGTGGTCTCCACTTTCTGCCTTTGTTTATCAGAGTTCTATCCAGCTAATCTTCAGTTGATTTTTTCAGTGTAGTTGTTTCTGTATTTTAGTTGTATTTCCAGTTTGGTCCTGGGAGAGTGTCAGTGTGGCTTCCACTTACTCTGCTGCCATATTAGAAGTCCGACACATATTCTTTCAAATTAATGTTTCAGGCCCTAACCTGTTTGGCTTAGTGGATGGAGCATCGGCCTATGGACTGAAGGGTACAAGGGCATGTACCTTGGTTGTGGGCACATTCTCAGTAGGGAGTGTGCAGGAGGCAGCTGATCAATGATTCTCTCATTGATGTTTCTAACTCTTTATTCCTCTCCCTTCCTCTCTGTAAAATTCAATAAAATATATTTTTAAAAAACCAACAAATTAGTGTTTCAGGTTCTTTGGATATATTCTCAAAAGTGGAATCACTGAATAAAAAGGTAGTGCCATTTTTAATTTTTTGAGAAAACTTCATACTGTTTTCCACAGTGGCTACAAAAATGTATCTTCCTACCAATGGTGCATGAAGGTTTCCTTTTCTCCACATCCTTGCCAACAATTGTTGTTTTTTAATTGGTAGCCATTCTAATTGGGTAAGATAATAATTCATCGTGGTTTTCATTTGCATCTCTCTGATGATTAATGATGTTGAACATTTTTCATATGTCTATTAGCCAACTAAATATCTTTTTTGGAGAAGTGTCTATTGAGGTCCTTTAATTGATATGTTTGTCTTCTTGGTGTTGAGTTGCATGTGTTCTTTATATATTTTGGAAATTAACCCCTTATCATATATAGCATTGGCAAATATGTTCTCCAATTTATTGGGTTGCCTTTCATTTTGTTGATGGTTTCTTTGCTTACAGAAGTTGATAATAAAAACTGTATTGCCTGGCTGGTGTGGCTCAATGTTTGGACATTGACCCATGAACCAGGAGGTCATGATTCAATTACTGGTCAGGACATATGCCTGGATTGTGGGCTCAACACCTACTATGTGCCAGGCACTGGACTGTGAAAGAAGATGAGAAAGACATTGTACGCAAGAGTCTGCTGAGGAGTAAGAATAACAGAAATGCCCACGGTCAAGTAAGCAGTGTGAGAATGACAATAAACACAACAGGCTCTCCCCCTGGCACTGGCCCTCACCCTGTGCTTTCACTGTTGCTATGGCACTGAAACCTGCCAGGCCTATTGGTTTTAGAACAGACTTGCAGCACCTATGCTTTCTACCACCCCTCATTTACCAATTCCTCCCCTCTTGCCTCTAATTCTGAGCTCTTAGCACAGTGCTACAGAGAATATCTCTATGCAACACAAACTTCATGCACTTCCATGGTTATTTCCTTAGAATGCATCCCTAGAAGTAGAATTTTGGGGCTGAAATGTATGCAACATATAGTAAAGCTTTTGATGCATGTTCCTAGATTGTCAGAAATAATGTTTGGGGGGGGGGTATTTCTTTTGCCAGAGATAATGTTTATCCACACACTTATATGTTCCACACAAGAGTTCCCATTTCCACTGCCTCATCAGTGGTTGTCATTCTTTTTTCTTTAAATATTAACCAACTATCTTATTTTCGTTTACTCTCTTTAGATCACTAGTGAAGTTATGATACTATCAGAGCATATGATGCTATCACAGAAGATGGCCACTATCATTGTGCTCTACCTATTTTTTCAGTGCTCCATTTAGAGCACATAGATAGATATAATTTTATATTCCACTGTGTTTTTTTTTTACCTTATAATAACATAATCAGCATGCCTCCCACCCTGTTTCCTTAAGTCTTTATAACCATTATGTTTAATGGTTACATACTCAGGTAGTTTACACACACACACTTTTTCAAAATTTTCTATTTTCTATTTCTCTTTCCTAAAAAAAAAAATTTAAAAGTTATTTCATTCTCTAAGGAAAACTGAAGGTGGGTAGGTGATTTTTCCCAACCATGTCCATTATTTTGTTCCCACAGGAACTGCAAAGCCGCCCTACTGGCGTAAGCCTATCTATGAACTGGACGAAGATGACCCAGAGAACAGTGGCTTCGTCAATGAGGACTTCATTGTGTGGATGCGGACAGCTGCCTTTCCCACTTTCAAGAAACTGTACCGTCGACTCCATCGAATACAGTATTTTACTGAAGGTTTGCCTGCTGGTAACTATAGTTTCAACATAGCCTACAGTATCCTTTTACACTGCTTCTTTTTGTAATGAAGGAAAATTAGTGTCCATCTGGATGCTACCCTGTTTCCCCGAAAATAAGACAGGGTCTTATATTAATTTTTGCTCCCAAAGATGCACTAGGTCTTATTTTCAGGGGATGTCTTATTTTTCCATGAAGAAGAATATGGTACAAGTTTATTGTTAAGTGAAAATAAAGGAAATTTATTACCTGTATACGGTACGGTAGTACGGTAGTTGTCAACACAAACCAGACAAACTGTGAATCCTACAGAATCAAGAATTTACTCATTTATTCAATGACAATCATGTCATCATCTTCTGGAACATCATCATAACAATCCAATTCCTGAATTCCCTGGTGAATTTCTTGTGACTCCATTTCTTTCAGAATCAGTGGACCAAATCTCTCATGTTTAGCAATAGCACTGTCTTTAAATGAGTACTTCTTGTCAAGGTAGCCTGCTCGCAGTGCATTTGCAATGCAACTGTCAGTGATTTTCTCCCATGAATTCTTCACCCAAGTCACAGCTTCTTGCAGTTTAGGTTTCACAAAGTTTACGGTAAATTAATTTTCATTCTGAGACAGAGCCTAGGGGGGGCCTTATTTTCAGGGAAATGCCTTATATTTCACTCAGAAGGAAACCTGTAAGTAGGTCTTATTTTCAGAGGATGTCTTATTTTCGGGGAAACACGGTAGTTGTCAAATTATTTCATTCTTTACTTTTCTATTCTTCAAACAAATCTTTGGGAGGCAGAATCTTTCCAGGGTTTGTACACAGCTTTGATGTCAGCCCTGTGGCATCTCAAGGCTGCTGGCGAGGAGTGGTTCATGGGACGCCCCGTGTGCCAGAGGATCTTAGCACAACATACCTCCTCCGTTTCTTTATCTGCTGGGGAGCTTGAATGAGAAAACTTGGGGATAAGTGAATGACTGCTCCACCATTTCTATCCAGAGTAGAGGGAGGACATTTCCATCCTGACAGGGGGAGGGGGATGTTCCTCAGTCAGAGGTTCCTCCTTGATGTGACACCATCTCTACCTGTCAATTTGTTGCCTCCAATTCCTTCCTTTTAGCAGGGCCTCTAATTCTATTCTGTGAAAATGTAAGAGTAAAATTTCAGCAACCCTGCCTTCTCCCCTCCCCCGCCAAAAAAAATTTGAGATTGAAAGTTGCTTGCACTGCTGGTGGGAATGCAGACTGGTACAGCCACTGTGGAAGGTAATATGGAGTTTCCTCAAAAAGTTAAAAATGGACCCAGTAATCCCACCTCTAGGAATATATCCCAAGAAACTAAAAACACCAATCAGAAAGGATATATCCACCATCATGTTCATAGCAGCACACTTTACCATAGCTAAGATTTGGAAACAGCCTAAGTGCTCATCAGCAGATGAGTGGATTTAATTAAAAACTGTGATACATCTACACAATGGAATACTACACCGCTATAAAAAAGAAGGAACTTTTACCATTTGCAACAGCATGAATAGAACTGTAGAGCATTATGCTAAGCAAAATAAGCCAGTCAGAGAAAGATAAATATCACATGATCTCACTCATTTGTGGAATATAATGAACAACATAACTGATGCACAAAAATAGATCCAAAGACAAATGGCAGGGAATGGGGGGGGAAGGGTGTTTAGAAATCAACTAAAGGGTTTGTATGCATGCATATTAGCATAACCAATGGACACAGACACTGGGGTGGTGGAGGCTTGCCCTAAGGGTAAGAATTTGGTGGGGGGGAGGGTCAACTGGGGAAAAATGATACATTTGTAAAACTTTAGACAATAAAAAAAATGTTAACAACAACAACAAAAAAGTTGCTTGACAGTGGTCTCCAGAATTGGACCCTCTGATCCCATCAACTTTGTCTGTGATTGCCTTACCAGTAAAGCAGGTGCAGTTGCCATCAAGAAATGGGGAAGGGGGAAATAAACGTCCTGAACTGCTGCCCTCACAGTGCCTGGTGCTGAGTTTGGGGCAGAGGGGAAAGAGGAGGCAGGTGTCTGTATTCCAAACAAAGGAGACCCTCTCTTTCTCCTTTGGACACAAGCTCTCCTGGGGTGACTTCAGCCAGTCACATTTTAATGCTGATGACTCTCTGATCTAAATCTTCGATGTAGACCCTCCATCTGAGCTTCGGTCCTAGCCTTGCACTACCTGTGTTAAGCCCTGGGGTGTGTGTGTCCCACTCAGCCTGGCAGATGTGCCCAGAGAATGAAGCCCAAGCTATAGACAAAACCTGCCACTTCTAACGGAGAGAGGATGTTCTCGGTGTGAGGAAAAGACCCTCTGCTAGAGCTGAGAGGGAGAGAAAACAGGCAGATGAGTTGAGGTGGCACTCAAGGAGCTGGTGACAGTGAGGAATTTTGACGTAAAAGAGAGACGGGGTTTCCTTGTGCCTTTAAGTAGCTTGTGGCCCAGCGATCGGAGGCCTTTCAAGAACGTTGCTGGGAAATGCCACTGTCCTGTGCTGTTGCTATGAGAAGCCTTTATTTGTTTATTAGTTTGGTTTACCAAAAGGCACCAGATGTTTAAAAACCTCAAACCACAGGCATAATCAAAATGACATCATTAAACTGCTAGTGACAGCAAACGCACGTCAAGCACTTTCACCCCAGCAGCGAGGGATGCCGGTCTTTCCGAAACCCAAACACATGCCCCGTCTTTAGTTTTCCCACCAAAAATACTCCACCATGCAGCTCACTATTTCTTTCATATGTTTTTATTGATTTTTTTTTTTGAGGGAGAGGAAGTGAGAGAAAGAGAGAGAGAAACATCAATGTGAGAGAGAGACGTTGATCCGTTTCCTCCTGCGCCCACCCCGACCCACAACCGGGATGACGGCGTTCCACCAACTGAGCCACACCAGCCAGGGCGATAGCTCACTATGACTTTGTTCCTCACTCCACTTGAAGAATTTTCCCTGAGGTAGGAATTCAAACCTTAGCCTACGAAGGCTTTTAGCCTACCCTGGGTCTTCTGAGTCATAAAACCAAAAGTAAAAGTCAGGTTTGCTGTAAAACCTATCTGTATTATTTCTATTTCCTTGGGTTAAAATACATGTGCTCAATTTTCGGTTGTCTGTAAGTCACCCCAAGCTGTCTACGTGTCAGAATCCCTTTTGTACAAGATGATGATGATGTAGAGGGAAGCCTTGTTTTTACTTAATTTCATGACAGTAACATACAATGTACTTCTTGATAAAGATTAGACCCTATGAAATTATTCAACCCTGTTTTTACCTACAAAAACAGCAATTTTCTGTGGTCCAGCCTGGTGTATTTAGGGCACGCGGAGGTAGAGCTGAGACGTGCAGAGACAGATCCTTAACAGATATCCTTTCCTTAGACTTCCCGGTAACCAGGTTCCAAGGAGAGAAGTCGGTCGTTCTTTCCACCCTGACATGGAGCGGCGGCAGCAGCCTTTTCCTAGGTCTCGTCTACACGGTGACAGGAGCCGTGACATGGCTGGCCTCCTTCTCCATGATGGCCATTCACCTGATGCTGGCAAAAAGGAAAATGTTCTTCCCCAACTACAAAGTCAAGCTTTGAAAGGAAGAGCAAAAAGCACAGACATGGATGGTGAAGTGACAGAGCCAAAGACCTCTGACGAGGCTGGAAGGGACTGGGATATTTGGGGGGGGCGGGGAGGGTTGCACTGAGGGACCAGGCTCAATCCCAGGTGGATAAATGAGAGTTCCCGGGGAGGTGGGGAGGAGGAGGGAATGGCATAGTATGTACAGTAGCATGTCCTTGAGGAACATAAACTGTCCTTGAACTCTAAACCAAGTCTCGGATATTTATTTAAAACCCTTATGCCTACGGGCGGGCGAATGCCTGGGAGAGGACCATCACCAGACCAGAGTAAGCTGGCTGAGCCCCCGAGATCAGGCTAGTCCTTTCAACCATCACCCGGGCTCAGACCCCGGTCTGTACTGAAATTATTATAAACTACCCTATGGCAATCACTGAGCACTGAATTGGGCAATCAGGATGATTTTGAAAACTGATTTAGTTGGTGTTCTCTCCTTTCTATGGAGTCAAAACTAAGTTTTCTCTGCCAGAAATAAACCAAGCAAAGGCTATGTCAGTGCCCTGAGCACACACGGTGCAGCCGGGAGGGGAACACAAACTGGACTCAGCACAGAGCAACTCGAGACCTCAGCCGGGGATAACTTAGACAGTAAACAATGAGGTGGCTTTAAGATACTCAAATTGTATGTGTTTAGGAGTTTCTAAGCGTCTATCTTAAAAGGGTTGAATTCCTACTAAAAGTCACTTACAGGAGACGTAGCAAAGTACTTGGTAAAGCTGCCAGGACAAGAGGCCTCATGGATTTGTGTCCCTCGATGACAGAATATTATACTTTTAAAAACATGTTTGTATTATTTTATTTGTTTAGGTGGGGGGATTGGAGGAGCTTTACTCTGCAATGACTTTAGGAGCAGAATTTTCATTGTTAAAAGAAACATACAGCGCCAACACATGTGTGTCTCTTTAGCAGCCAAGAAAGCATTTCTTTGTTGCAGCTTTCTGCATTTACCAAATGGTTGAATGCTTTTCCAAAATAACCAAAAATGGTTTTAAGCACCAGCTCTGAAACCTGGAAACCTCTCCCCCATCTCACCTTCCAGGTGTGACCAGTGACCTCCGGTGTGGTAGGCTGAATAATGCCCACCTCCACCCCAAAGACAGTCATGTCCTAATCCCCAAGACCGGTGAATGTTAACTTCTATGTCAAAAGGGACTTTGCAGAAGTGGTTAAGTTAAAGAGATTGCTATGGAGAGATTACCCTGGTGTACCTGAGTGGGCCCGGTGTAATAATTAAGGTGCTCATAGGAGAGAGAGACAGGAGATCGGACGCAAGAGGCTGGTGTGGTGGAAGGAAGGGACCATGATCCAAAAGATGCAGGCAGCCTCTGGAAGTTGAACAAAGCAAGAAACAGATCCTCCCTTGAAGCCTCCAGAAGCCAAGCTGTCATCTTGATTTGAGACTTCTGACCTCCAGGACGGTAAGAAAATATTTTATTTATTTATTTATTTATTTATTTATTTATTTATTTGTTTGTTTTAGAAAATAAAATCTCAGTTTATTTGAATAGTATACTAGTATTTCAGAGAACATATCAGCACATGCAAATGCACAAAATATTAGTTAAGTCAATAATTAAATCTGACAGTGAACCATGGGACTGGATTTGATAATGGTGGATAATGTCAAAACTACAAAAAAATGGAAATATTGAGATGGTTAGTACACATAAAACTAATTATTATTATTTATAATTTAAATTCTTTATTGTTTAAAGTATTAAACGAGTCTCTTTTTACCCCCATTGACCTTTCCTGGACCACCCCCAACCCCAAGCACAAGTCCTTACTCCCCTACTGTCTGTGTCCATTGGTTATGAAGAAAATATATTTATGATGTTTTAAAATCCCAGTGTGTGTGTGGGGGTGGGGAAACCAACAACACAACAGACCTTCCGCCTTTCCAACTCCCACCCTCAGATCCCTGACAATGTGGTAATTTGTTACAGCAGCAAAAGGAAACTAATACACCAGGAGTTGGCAGTGCTCTAGTTGTCTGAGCAACTGTTGCTTCTTGGGTGTTAGGTGAGCTATGCAGGGCAGAGGGCTGGGAAGGAACAGGCCCAATGACTTCAGACCTGGGCTCTCACTCCTCTGTCTGCACTCCTCAGTTACAGGGCAAACTGGAAAAAGGATTTACACACATTGTTACACCTCAACCTTGTCTGTCGGCTTATAGGATGCTGTATCAGTCAAGAGTTCTACAAAGAAACAGAACCAAGTGTGTGTGTGTGTGTGTGTGTGTGTGTGTGTGTGTAAGGAGCTGACTCCTATCATCGCAGAGGCCTGGCAAGGGCAACATCTGATGGGGGAGGCTGCAGGCTGGGGGATGGGGAAAGGGTTGCAGTTCAACCCAAAAGGCAGCTGATGGAAACCCAGGGAGAGTCGATGTTTCGGATGCAGCCTGGAGTCTGCCTGCTGGGGAATTCCCTCTTGCTCAGGGGAAGTCAGCCTTTTGTTTTATTCGGTCTTTCAGCTGACTGGATGAGACCACCCATATTATGGAAGACAGTCTGCTTTACTCTGTCTACCCATGCAAAGGTAAATCTCGTCCGAAGATGCCCTCATTTTCACCACGGCCGAAACAGTGAGAGAATATGACTGAGCCAACGTCTGGGCACCACGGCCCGGTCAAGTTGACACACACAGTTAAGCATCGCGGAAGGCGTCTGCATTCGCCAAGACTTTCTAAACAGGTCCTCCCCGTTTCACTTTGTCCTCCAGTCAAGTCTGTGGAAAGGACCTGTACAGAATGTAAGTCCATCTGACATGAGTGTAAGTGTAGAGTTGACCTTTGTTGAAATTTACCAACTAAACTCCTACTTTGTGGGACAAATTCACCATGCCGAGGATGAGCCAGCCTGCTCTCAAGGGACCTGTGCCACGCAGATCTCTGTGTCCCGCTGGGCCCCCTTCATTGCCCTGCAGGGCTGTGCGCACCTCCCACCTCACCCTGGGTTCCTCCCCGTTTCCTCAGTGTCACACCGGCCTCCCTGAGGGAAGAGAGCGTGTGCCCCCTTCCCCTGGCACGACCCCAGAGCACGTAAGTCCGTGCTGGGCACAGAGAAAACTCCTGACGTGGACACAGCCCGGTCTCTCCCAGCCTGCACGCGGGCCTTCCTGACGAAGGCTGGCTTTTCGTCTGGATTATAATATTTCATGGTGGAGGCTTTATGAACCAAACGCTAATGAGAGAAGCTTGCTTCGGACAGCCGCTGGCGTTCCTGTGCAGTGTGTCCACCGGAACCCCACACGCCGTGGCCCACGGTTGCCACCACACCTTGTCTCTGGTGCTCGTGAATGAATGGACTGCAGAGCGGACTTGTCCTGGCTCCTCCACCGGCTGCGACAACAGGAGCCCCTCGGGCTCGGCCGGGACCCTCTCCCAGCGCGTGGTCAGTCCACAGAGTGCAGCCCTCTGAAGCCCTTCTCTCTCCTCGCCAGGCTTCTGAGAGCTTCACGCTCCTCGTCCCTGTTCACAGTGTCAGGACGTCATGGGCACTTCTGAGTTAATTGCATTCTAGGCAAGCCATGCCCCCCCCCCCTTTTTTAAATATATTTTATTGATTTTGTACAGAGAGGAAAAGAGAGAGAGAGAGAGAGAGAGAGAGAGAGAGAGAGAGAGAGAGAGAGAGAGAGAGAGTTAGAAACATCGATGAGAGAGAGTCATCGATCAGCTGCCTCTTGCACACCCCCTACTGGGGATATGCCCGCAACTAAGGTACATGCCCTTGCCCGGAATCGAACTCGGGACCCTTCAGTCCCCAAGCCGACGCTCTATCCATTGAGCCAAACCGGTTTCGGCAATGGCCCCCTTTTTATCTCTCCCTCCATCTACCCCCCTCACCCTTAAAATAGCTATCTGGAGAAATGATTAGGAGAGAAGGTGAAATTATGAGATTTGGAGAGCAGCCAGCGGAGCTCACTTAAGGAGAAAAAGGAGAAACTTCTCTGCGGAGGGTCAGGCTTGTACAGTATCCCCCATGCCGATCCCGCGGCAGTCCACGGAATGATTCAGAGCCGCTCTGACAAAGCTAGGATCTCTTCTAAGTCTGGAGAGTGAACTGCTGTCTTATAATGAATCTTCATTGTTGACTAGTGCAGAGCCCATGTCCTGCTTCCAGAGGCAGGATCCAGTTCTCTTATTCATTTTCACCACGGCTGGAACGGAAAAACTGAAGTCATCACTCCGATGGCTGTGTGGAACTCGCACAGCCAGCCCCCGGCACAGACAGGCCCCGTGTGGGGCACCTTTTGCTCCTGGTCCGTATGGAAAGAGCCTCCCTCCGCTGACACAGAAGGTTTCCAGGGCAGGTTAACATTGTAAACATGACTGAGAGTCTGTTGATTTTTTTCTTTCTTGTTTATGAAGATTTCCCAGTTTCTTTTTTATAACCAGCATCCATTGGCTGCCTGGCTATAACGATGTATTCTTCAGTCTGAGGCCAGGAATTTTCTGGACAGGTTGGGGGAGGTTCCAAATGGTTTGTAGAAACTAGAGCTACAGAACTCCAGAAGGTAAGTGGGGGTGGAAGAGACACTTGTTTAGGGGAGGGGAGGAAATTTCGGATTTCCGTTTTTCTTGTAATGCAGATAAATGAGGAAGGACACCTGAAGGAGAGCGGGGTAAATGAAAGAAAGCAATGTGGGTGAGCCCTCTCCATGCCTTACCACACGGCTGCGTTTAATCCAAACCACAGAGTGAGGCAGATGCTTATCCTCGGGTCATTTCTCTCACCTTCTTCCCGCTTGTCAAAGCCACTTCCCATCAGTATGGAAATGCTAGCTAATGCTTTGCCTTCAGGTAGGAATGGCCAAGGGACCCAGTTCTGACTATAGAACATAAGAGAAAGTCTGTTGGGGTGACTTGGGAAAATATTTTCTTCCAAGATAAAACACACACACACACACACACACACACACACACACACACACACACACACGAAGAGCTTCCTAAAAA